TACCTCCTGTAAGACTGAGCCAAGAAGATGAAGCAAAACAAAAATCCTCGAACCAAAGTTGCAACATGTAGAACACGACCTTGTCAGAGATACTGTCGGGCAAAACATAGTTTCTTATTATAAATGGGATGGCTTCGGCGCCTCTTTCAACTTTCAATACATGAAGAGTTAATATAGTTTATAGCTAAGGCAATGTCTTATCACAGATTTATAATTAGTTACCGCGCGCCGTATGTGGTGTAGCCGTTAGGCGCCTCGCCGTCACTTATAGAAGATTCTGGAATGGAGAGAGTTGTGTTTGCTTTGTTGTTTTGGGGTTTTTTTTTAGTTGTTTTTTTTTGGGGGGGTGTGGGTTTGGTTTTCTTTTTAGTGTTTCTGTTCTGCGTGCTGGCTCATTGATGCCGACACTTATAGAAGATTCTGGAATGGAGAGAGTTGTGTATGCTTTGTTGTTTTGGGGTTTTTTTTAAGTTTTTTTGGGGGGTGTGGGGTTGGTTTTCTTTTTAGTGTTTCTGTTCTGCGTGCCGGCTCATTGTATTCTACGATCGACCTGACTGGCAGGATCAAAGCAGCCCGCGTCCTAAATATTCTATGTCGTTTGGGGTGTAAAAACTTCTACAATAAACGTTACATCGTTTTTGAATTAGCTTTACCTCTTGAGTTACTTGATATCTGTGTAGGTTAAAAGGGAAGTAAACTATATAGAGATAGCAGTATTAGGAAGTAGGAAGAACAAAGAACTAGCTTACAACATCCATTGTCCATCCCTGACAATCTGTTTTTTCCCACTTGTGGTAGTCATACGCCTACATGGGCAGATCGTAACACATTTCTGCCTGTTCGAATCTGACTGCCCTCACACCTCTCACTTACACACTCACTCACTCTGTCTCGGGGCTTTTCCTGTTTTTTTGTTGCTCTCGCTCACTCTTTAACAACGAGATATCACAACCAAACACTTTTTCATAACCCCATATCAACCCACGTAAAGTTAAAACAGGCAACATCGATGTGCGGAATTGCTTTCCTACAAATTATGCTCTCCAATTTAAGGAGTGCTGGCTATAAAAACAAACAAAACAAAAAACAACTTACAATACGAAGCGATCCTTTCAACCCGAACACAATGTATACATTGTTCATCCTACCAATAAAACTTCACCTGCGTAGAGGACGTGAGTTCGATTCCCATATGGGGGAAGTTCTGTATCGAGTTCCCCATCTGTCTGCTGGTATGATTTATCCTTCTCGGCCCGGGCTGGCCCTGGTAGCCAGGGTCGAAGAAGCCTGCGCCAGTGATGATTTAAGCTGTGTTGAAGAGGGCGTGAAATATTCACTATCAATCCTCTACAATCAACGGAAATCCCCCGTTCGTTAAAAAAGAAACCCCC